GGGGGGGGGGGACAAGCTCCTGGAAACCTGGGATGCTCCGGCCAACCACAGAGGAAAAATACTAATAAAATGTAAAAAATGAGGGGTTGTACACTGTAAAATGTTTGGTGATGATAAAACTTCTAATTACAAAAAAAATGATGACTTTGCATACTTAAAGCTGAACGCCGGGCACAAACACTTTGATTTAAATATATTATTTGATAACCACAAATGATATAAAAACAACTTTGTGCGCAAAAAAAAGGTATTTGCTAAGCTTAATAACAGTAGTGGTGACTAGGGGTGCCACCTGTCCGGGATTCACCCGCACAGTCCGGGTTTTAAATGCTGTGTCCAGGTTTCATGGCAGCTGAAACCCAGACACAAGATGTCAGGCAGGCGGGGGCAACCAAAATTAACATAGGGGCTACTGGCCCCCAACTGAAAATAGTCTTGACTGTGATATTTATTTACATATGAATGGGTGGCGCTATTTACATATGAATAGGACGCGACTCATTCTCCCCCCAAAATGTCCATGCATCGCTAGAGTGTTCGGGTTCCGATGGAAAAAAAGGTGGCTACCCTAGCAGTGACATCATCATAGACCTGTAAGGCGAGCAGAGCTGTAGGAGGGATCCAGCAGGTCCACCCACTGCAGGCTACCTGCAGACAACTACAGCGGGAGGCTGAATGAAACAAACAACTGTAACAAACACACTGTAACAGTGTATGTCCAGCTTTAGGCCTCATTCACACAGGATTCATCCCGCACGTACAGCTCCGTGCTTCATGCACGGCCGTATCGAGCAGCTCCCAGGAAGGACAGGTCCTGCGTGTGATAAGTACGCAGCCCCCGTCCTTCTCTATGGTACTACACGGCTGTATGCCCCCCTACGCTCACCCGCCCTGCACGTCCGTGCGGTTGAGCATGCTCGTACGCTGACAGGATAGATCCTGTCTGCATCCGAGCCAGGAAACACGCACCCCTACGGACCTGCACTTGAGGTGAGGGTAGGGCGGCGTACGGCCGTGTAGTCCCATATAGAAGGAAAGGGGCTGCGTACTAATCACACGCAGCACCTGTCCTTCCCGGGAGCACGGAGCTGTACGTGCGGGCCGATTCCAGTGTGAATGTGGCCTTAGCCTGAAAAAACGAAAGGCACGGTGAAAATCTGTTGGCCAATCAGCTGCAGTGGCTGTTTGGATAGTCAAGGAGCCATGCTTGAAATCAATAGCTGTCAGTGAGAGATTTCTCCATCCAACTTGTTTGGCATGAAAGGGGGAATCGAGCGGTTCTCTGAATGAGAAGAAGCTAAACACGTATTACCATCTAACTGACAACAGTCAGAAGGTGGAAAGCATTAAATTAGTACACCAGCCAGGCACTTCCAATTATAGAGTGACAACCCTCTGTCCTTGTCTTTCAATGCTTCTCTGTTGTCACCCTATCAGATGCTGGAGACTATTACTCAGCCATGGCCCAACATCATTACCATCAGTATTCCTGCCATGAGAAATGCAATGTGCCGCAGTTGATGAAATGCAGAAATGCAAATAGGAAGTGGTGGCAAAGAGGCTGCGGGAAACAGCTCAGTATGCCCTACGTTGGCTGCATCTTGATCCTGCATGCACCGGTCTCTGTCCAGTTTGATCTCGTTCTGTATCGGCAGAAGATGCAGGGATCAAAGGGGACACAGAGTCGATCCACCTGCTGGTGCCCAGCAGGAAGAAGTGAGCTGCAGGAGGAGAGCAGCAGTGACAGGTGTGAGGGGGGCGGAGCTTCAGGATGCCGAGCGGAGGGTCAGGAAATATGTGAAATATTATTTTGTGTGATATTTCTCCGAAGACCTTGATGGTAATGTAAAATAAATAACATACATGTGTGCACAACACACAATTCAACAGTGTGCACAATAATGTGGTGTGCGTTATGTACATGCTCTGCTGTGCGTTGTTAGAACACATTGCAGTGCTTGATTTTTTTTCTTTTTTAAGTAATATTAAAAAACTGTGTGGCAGCGCATGGCAAAGCCTTGCAACACATTGCCATGTCTTGTAGTACACAGCAGCTGCTTATTTACAGTGGTGCATTCCTTCATCGAAGTGTGTTGTTCTACGCTGCGTTGTGATTAAATGTATGCCTGTTTCATTTTATTGCAACGCACACCAACGCAGCTCACAAACAACATTACAGATCAGGCGTTACCGCAACACATAAGTGTGAGGCCAACCTCCAGATTTTTCAAATACGTTGCTTATTTACAGCTTTTGTTTTACTGTTTTACAAAAAGGCGCAATGTAAAATGTATAAATACAGTGGTACCACGGTTCACGAACGCTTCTGTTCGCGAAAAATTCCGTTTGCGAACAGGAAGTTCGGCAAAATTTTGCTTCCATTTACGAACTCTGCATCGGGTGGCGAACACGACCGCAGCCATCTTCCCTGCTCTGACACGTGGCCGTGGCTTCCTCTAGTCGTGATCGCGGTCTGATCGCAGTTTGATTTGGTTTGCAACCAATTCGGTTTTCGACCAGATTTGAGGAACAAATTAAGTTTGTGAACCATTGTACTGTACGGGGTACCACTGTACTTGTTATTTATTAACTCGGTTTATCTTTTAAATTGTGTAGCAATAAAGTACATTTTTTTTTGTGCGCTGATAATAATTTTAGTGTTTTATAAAAAATTATGATTTGATAAACATCATTTGCATGACTGTTTGTGGGACCAAAATGACTGTGTGTACAAAATTAGTAGTGCCGTCTTTTTATTCCTCCAGTTCTGTGCTTTCAGAAAATGTATTGTTTGGGGGCTGCGGTTACAAACTCTGAAAGCTGCAGTTGAAATTTACAAAAAATAAATAAAAATAATGAAAAATTGCAAAAATGATCAGGCTGGCTGAGATGTAAAGTGGAGCGCAGGGCCTGGCGGGGAAAGGGTTAAACAATAAAAGCATCCTGATCTCCAGTGGTTAACAGTGGTCACTCTGCCCCCCCCCCTCTATGGTCCTCTCCAACCTGTCTTGTGACCGCTGACAGCTCTATATGCTGGGAATGCCATGTGCCAGCTGCACACAAGGGGAGGGGGCCACCCTGACAAGGGTTCTTTAAGAGAAATAAGGGAGACATGCACTTCCCTCTGCCATGGAGTGTCCTAAAGAGGCTGCGCTGTGACTGCCTCGCTCCCCTCCTCCTCTCATAGCATCACAAGCTGTGCCTGAGGCTTCGGAGGTGAGGAGGGGAAGGACAGTGACCCTCACACTCCCTGCTTCGGGGAGGGGGCTGAGCGCCTGAATGCTCAGGGAAGGTGCTGCAGGAGGACCCCCTTTCTCCCACATCTCCAGGCTTCATCATTGCTACGCAGAAGGATGACTGGTGAATAGGGGCACATCCAACTGGAGCAGCACGGGAGATCCTGGAGGAGCTTTGTGTAACACTTGGAAAACTGAACACACTTCACTTCCAAAATGCCTGTAAGGAGAGGACATGTGGCTCCACAGAACACCTTCCTGGGGTTCATCATCAGGAAATTCGAAGCACAAAGTAAGACTCATGCAGGGGTCCGAAATGAAGTGCCAGCCAAAGGATACACTTTGCTTTTTCATTAGCTAGTGACATTAGATACAAAGCAATCAATCATGTGTTACTTCACTGTTACTACACTATAGGTAGAGGAAATAAATAAACAATAATGGGGGGGGCAAAATGCATTTTGGAGTCTGAATTGGAAGCTTAGCCATAGGGTGATATTAGATACAAAGCAATCAATCGGGTTTTACTTTACTATAGGAAGAGGAACTAAATGAGCAATAATTTTTTTTGGGGGGGAGGGGTGGGGTAATGGGAGTAATTTGAGGTCCAAAATGGAGTCTTAGCCAAAGGGTACACTTTGCCTTTTTTACCTTGTAATATTAGATACATAGATCAGGTTTTATTGTAGGTAGATGAACTAAATGAGCAAGCCTTTTTTGTTTTGTTTTGGGGAGGAGCATAATGCCTTCAGGGGTCTGAAATGGAGTCCTAGCCAATGGTCGCACTCTTTGCTCTTGCTTTAGCTAGTGATGTTACATACATAGCAACCAATAATAATAATACTGATTCCAAGTTGTTCTGTAGGTTCGGTCATGGTTATGCACCTGGATGCATATTTAATATCTTTAATTGGCCTGCTGCTCTGTGACTGTATATGTAGTATTGATTAAATTCACATTCTCACATTCAGGCAATAACGAAGACTGTAAACATGCAAGGTGGATATGTGTGGTATGTGAGCACTTATTATATTGTAACCCCTAGGCTTATGGCTGAGTGGCAAGTGTGACTTCATGATTGCACGTAGGGCTGGAGTTTACTTTGAAGCCTGCTCTTAACTGGCACAAACACACAGCAGGTTCATGAATGGACGAGCAAGGTGCTGTGAACGCTCCAGTTACAAGGTGTGCTCAGTTAGGAGTTACAACCTAACATTGCAATGACTGCAGCAGTTTTGTTTTTTTTGGTAGATGGGTTATGTAACGAAGCACTACTGAGAGCTGGGGAATTGTGCAGTGTATGAAAAGATAGAGAGAAATACATGTTTCCTCAAGCAAATCGCCTCTGTAATTGCGTCTCTGTGGTGTTTGCATTATTTTAACCCCTCGGCAGGTGTATGTGACGTTAACACAAAGGATCAAACTACACTACAAGGTCTGCCTTTTGAGCTACAAAAAAAATAAATCCCAATTTTGTCTATTTAGGTTAGAAGTATGCCACCTTATTTTGTGAATGAACCCTGCATGCGAGTCAGACTTCATGGGGCTTATTTAAGGCACAGAGCAAAATTCAGCCAAACGTAGCACCCAGCAATTATCTTTCATAGTTTTTGCAGCAGCATGCTAATAAAAGGTAACATTTGACTGGTTTGTATGAATTTTGCTCATTTGCTTATTAATGTTCTTTATATAAAGCTTTATTAAGAACGTCCATGTTTTAATTGGATTACGTGTGTTTAATTTTGATATAAAAATGCTAAAAGCAAAAGATTAATTGGATGGTGTCATGTAGTGCTGAAATTTCAGACAGTGGAAAACACCCCCCACTAAACTAAGGCAAATTAAATGAAACTTGTGTTCTTTTCTAAATAATTAACGAAGTATGTAGGTCATAACTGATACTGTAGGTTAACCTTACATGGTACCGTGCGTTTGGATGGGTCTACCTAATGACCATGCAAATCACACGGGCAGCTGGAACACTAACATCTTACTTTCTAGAACGCTTTGTAGCTTACCTAACACGATCAAAGAGCTAATGTTCTATG